TGTACTTTCACTCAATCACACCACTGCTCTGCACACAACTTTCTCTTGCAGCAGTCTTTTCTACTGGTGGCAAGGACTGAAATGACCTCAGTACACTTAAAAATTAATTATTTTGTTTTCCTGGTAATTTTATTTCCTCAAAACCAATGTAGAGAACTGTTGTGATGAACACTAACTGGGCAACAAATGTAGTATTTTAAGTAGCTGGAATTTGACTTAGCTTAACATATATTGCCCAAGTGCATTAGCTGAAATGGCTAACACAGAGATGAAGGTCTAGGGACCCTGCAGCATCTCACTGCTGACACCACGCACTGAAGAATGGCAGCGTGCTGGCAGAGGGGGGATTCTGGTGAGCCCACTGACTGAATCACAAACCGTGAAACAATTCTCCCATAGAGTCCAGGGGCTCATTCTTACAGTATTTAAACTGCACTCTTCCCCTGTGAATGAAGCCATGTAACACCAAGACACAACAGCAGCATTTCCTGCCGAGGAGCTTTTTCAGCAACACAAGCTCGGGTTACCCTGGCAAAACTGGAGGTGGATAACAACAAACACCAATGGTCAGGGTGTCCTGACATTTTTTCGTTCCAGGCCCTGAGCATTTCTGTTGCTACGCCTTTTACTGATCTAGCTGTTCAAAACAACAGCTTTCTGTGGTGGTGTTCAACCTCTAACTCACCTGACTTTACAAGTTTCAGCCAATCTTGGCTAAGTTGATTTGAAGAACAAGGTAGACAGTTAATGGCTTTTGGTTTTCTTTCTTTCTTTGGCTTCTTGGAAGTTTTACAAAAGCATACTGTCCTGGGGCAAAAGAACTGCTTTTGCTGTCCTAGTGAAAATATGCCTGTTACAAAGGCAAGTTACAAAGCTTAATATATTATATCACTGTTTGGACATGCACTGTAAAAGGTCAGAAAACTTCATCTAGCCTGAATCCATTCATGGACACAGGCATCTACAGGTACTGGCCTATAGGTCAGCTCAGGGCCTAAGGGAGACGGTGCATTTCACACCCTGTAACACCTATATATATATATTTTTTTCCTCCTAACTACTCAGCTCCTATAAAACACACTTAGAAAAAACCCCAAATCCTGTAACTGAAAACAGTGACACACTGAATCAAATGTGATCAAAAAGGGCACAGTGCACTCATAAAGATATTGGCTTTAACCATGTTTCAACCTGTACAAGCTACCCTTGCTGAGAACTAACGCTGAAACATGCCTCTATGAAAGGTGGTGGCTGCCGTGTTATCACCACCTCCCTCCTCCTCTCCTCAGAAAGATGTAGGGCCACAAGAAGCAGAACAAACGTCTCGCTGCAGCTGGGAGAAAGGAGAAACTAAAAAGGCTCAGCTGCTGGTACACAGAGTACTGCAGAAAACTTCCTGGAGGAGAGGGAGAGAAAATGAAAAGGGTATGCTCTAGTTACAGAGAAACCCAACAGAGGAATTTTACAGTGCATGTACTTTTTAAAAAGCCACACTTTTTACTTTAAGTCCATTCCATTGTACTTGCCAAAGGAAAGAAGGGAAACCTCACAGAGCGCCTGGAGAGGCTTCTCCTCAGGAAATCCTCCCATCTCCTCAGCCTGGGCTGCTGCTGCTGCTCAGGGCTGCCTGTCAGGCAATCTTTAGAAGCACGTTACCATGTCTGACAGCAAACCTCAGCCACAAAAGTTTCCAGAGGAGTTACCCTCCTCTGCGAGGTTTCTTATTTTCCCTATTGGCTGCACAGTGTTTCAGCACTCTGGTTAATTATATCAATGCTTAGATACAACTTCCCCTTCCCTCCCCTACCCCAAAAAAAGATGGTGTCTCAAGGCCCTGGCTGCAGGGAAATGGCTGCTGGCTTTAAATAATCCAGGTAGGGAGGCACGAGGAGGGGAGGAGGGGGACGAGGGGTTGGGGGGGGCAGAAAGCATAGAGAATGCCCCCTCCCTTAGCTAATAGGGGTGCAGGCAGCCTCTCTGGGACCAGTTCCTGTCACTAATTAGGGTGCATGCAGGTCTTGGGGCTTCAAAGGGACGCGGACTGGCCAGGGGGTGATGCGTGCAGGATGCATAGGGCCACAGCTCACTGCAGTGGGACAAAGGGCCCTATTCTGGCTCCCCACAGCAGGACAGTTCTTACCGTAATTAGAAGACAAAGATGTCGGATCTGGGATTTTACATAACTGGGAGAGACTCTCCCAAGCGGGAGCCTCTCTCACACAATCGGTGGATTAAGCATTGTTTATTTTGCTGCAAGTAAACAATGAGGTGCTCCCAGCTCGTGGCTCTGCATGAAACAGTGCTCCCGGGGAGCACAAGGCTTTTCATCAAGCTTTGAACAGCTAACCCCGCGATTTCAAGTTGCTCATTTGACAGTATCTGGAAGGGCAAAGGCCCACTCCGTGAATGAGCTGCTCCCAGGCAGACCCAGGGGCTGCCAGACAGCCCTGCCATTCCTTAATGGAGGAACAGGACAGGAAGATGCTGCGGGAGAGAGGCTGTACTTCACCAAGAGCTCGGCCACAGCCCGTTTGCGCCACGGTTTACAAAGAGAGGCATGTTGAGGCTGACAGAGCATCATCTGTTTCTTGGTTGTGACAACACAGGGCTGCCCACAGCAGTAGCTGCAAAGCAACTGCCAGAGCCAGAGCATCTGGGGCCTGAGGATGCACAACATCTGATACCTGCTGCACAGAAGTCCTGATCAAGTGACTTGAATTTTACAATGCTGGCAATAAAAAGAGACTGAGCGTGTTCTGCTCCCTGCCCTTTGCTCCTAGCACAGCTGCTCTCCTTTTTCATTTGTTTGAACTTTGTTTAAGTAGAGTTCTTCCTCTTAGTCTTCTACAATAAGGAAACACTGGGATTTGATGAATGCCTTCTAACACTTTGCAGTTTGCTCCCCTGCCACAAACACACCCATACACACATACCTCCTGCTCTACTATTCTAGCAGTGTTTTCTCATCTCTTCGACTCCTTCTCTTAAAAAGACACCTTCGTGCCTCACAAAAGGAATCATTTCAGTCACGTTAATTCAGGACTGAAAACAGCACACCACAATCAGCACATTTTGTTGAATCCCGCAAACAGTCCTGCAAAACTCTGGGGACCAGGGTATTGCAGACCCTGCCTGCCTAGGACTTTCATCCTGCAGAGATGAAACAGTCACCTGAACAGCAGCCCAGACTGCTCTGCTTACCAGAGGATTTTCTGATAGGTTGGGGCAAGCAGACAGTGACATCTGACTCGTCTAGACCAGGACAAAAGGTATATTTTAAGCCAGATAGGTAATGCAAGTTGCATTTGAATGTGTTAGCTGACCAGGGAAAACCATGGCTTCCTTGTCTTGCCCTCTCTCTACTGAAATGTCTTAAGTTGCTAAAGCAAATATTTGACAAAACCCCCTTTGTCATTGTCTAGACAAGCCCTAAAGACCCAGTACTACCCTTAACTCATGCCCACAGAGCATGACAATCATACCTTTGATTTGGGGACACTTTTTAGCCTGTGCAGCTCAACACAATTATGGGAAGCAAAATCCATGTCAGGAGAATGTTACCCAACAGTAAGTCAGCTAATCCTAGGGAAAGAGCTACATGAAGAGGTACATGAAGAGACTGCTTGCACAGTGTCCTTCTGCTTTGCAGCAACAGACTGTGAAGCTCCCAGGCTAGATAAACTGTCTTTTATCCATCACCCAAAGCCAGAGAACCCTCCTGTCCACTCAGCTTCATAGCATATAGCCTAGCAAAGATGTTGTATCTTTGCAGAAACTTAGAAGTAAGGCTAGTAAATAACACAGCCACTTTCTCTAAAGTGTAAAGGGTACTCCAAAGTTATCTCAGAGATCTTTCAGTGGGGATACAGATCAACTGTTTCAATTTTGTTCTGTAATGAGAATTTACTTGATTGACTTCCAAAGCAGCAAACTTCAATTAAGTAACTATTATTTGCTGGACTAAGTTTAAGAAAGCATTTTCCAAATCCCCTCCACATAAATTACAATTACAATGCCTTAAGAAAATAATAAAAAAAAAAGGTTCTAAACATATTCACCAGTCTTTTCTAATGAAGTAAACAAATAAATAAATAACGAACCCCAGCTCTGCTCCATCCCATTCTATTAAAACAATGCCTGCAGTAAAGAATGTTGACACTCAAAATGTCAAATTCTGCTACCTTCTGAAAAGATCACTTGAGAATCCAATGTCCTAAACAAGCCTGAAGCGCTGACAGGTTTTTGCAAATGGATAACCTGCTTTTGTAAATTAGCAGCTTTTGTATGTGTTGAAACTAGACTTGGAATATCCCTTTTGTATCTTCATGTTATCTGGCTCTAGTTTTTTTTCTATTAAAAAAAACCAACAAACAGGAAATAAAAAAAGCATCAGAAATCTCAGGAGCAATTACTTGAACCAAAACACAAACCCCAAGCACCTTCCCAAACAATTAATAGCTAATTTTTCCTTATTAAGAGATGCTGATTTAAGCCAAAACCCAAAACATTCCCTAACCTCAATAGGCAGAAAAACATTACACACTTTGCAGAAGGTTTGGAACCAGAAACTCGTCTATCTCCACTCACTCCCATGACAAGCAGCAAAACTTCAGGCAGAAGAACCTCATGGGTTGGTACCTGAGTGGATTTATCTAGCTTTGCTTCCTGCTTTAAACATTTGCCATTTTATACAAAAACTGTGATAAGTTGGGAAGGGAGGAAGGGGTGCTTTAGTTTCTCCTAAAAACATTCCCAGCTATTAACTGGCAAGATCTCTTGTATCTGGAAAAATACATAAATAAGTAAGTAAGTAAATAAGTAAAACCTTCTAGCACACCGGTGACAAAAGATGAAGCAGAAAGATTCAAAACCAGTTCAAAATCAGAATGGGGGTCAGTTAGTAGTGCAGAGGTCTGAACAATGCTGGGTTTTTCTCCCCTCCCCAGCAGGCTCTCTGAGACCATCTGGCGACCAGAAATGCTCTCAAACCCACTTCTTACCTCAGTGAGTTATCTGGATGCGTCTCCATGTGGGACTCCAGCGCATACTTGCAATAAAAGTCTTTGAAACATACTGGACAATGGTAAGCGTCATCTTCTTTCCTATCCCCTTCACCATACTGACCATCCTCGACAACCTACAGAGAAAGGAAAAGAAAAAACCCTCACTGGACTGAATTTCAAGCAACAAACCAAACATGCAACCCATTCAAAGTCTTCCTCTTATAAGCAGAGCAGTGACTGCCATCTAACTTTGCTGCAGGTGACCAGAAATTGCTCATTTCGGCAACAGAGTGCGTGAGAGGCAGCGCATGTGAGAATACACATGGCAGGAAGGAGGCTCAACAAGAGATGAAGCACGCAGCGAAGTCGCAGATGCATCAGTTCTAATGAGAAACTGCTATCTGAACGACTCATAAGCCTGCATGTTTATATACCACTGAACCAGCATTCCTCCTCCTTCAGAGAGCCAGGCGAGCTGTCAGCCTAAATTATTTATGCCACTGAAATACTGCCAACTGCTAACTCAAGTGGTCCATGGAAAAGCAATGAACTTCTGCGTGTTTTCTATAGCCCTCTTCTGATTACAGGGAGGAAAAGCATGCACGGAAACAAGGCTACTGAGCTACGTGGACCTGCTACCAGTTTGCCATTTAGAGACGAAGGAGAAAGGGTCGAGTTAATTTTGGCAGCCACCACACGTTTTGGATAAATGACTAAAATGCAGTAAAATATTTCATAAACAAAACCCTAATGGAAATGTCTAGCCTTCGCATAAATATTTTCTGGTTGCTCTTGCAACTCAAATAATGCAGGATTATGCTACTGCAAAAGGGAAACATACTATAGATTTCTTTTTCTCCAGTCATAACAAAAATGCACTTAAGTTGTTTCTTAAGTAAACACTTTTTTTGAAGTTCAAATCACCACCCTGCAAGAATACTATAAATTAAACAGGAAATAAAATGGGGGAAAAAAAAGAGCAGCAGTGAAAGAATAGCTTATCATCTTCTCATCCAACATTAGCTAATATATACAATCAATAAGCATATATGCAATCAACGTGCTAAATGAGAAATTTAAACAGCAAAGAATAATAATAATTCTTTCAATTTCTGAATTAGAAATGCATTTTCCATTTCAGACAACACTGTTGGGTACAGAGGAAAAACAGGTATCTCAAATCGTACAGGACTGCAATGAGACCAAATGTTAATATTCCAGTGCTGACTGCATGAGCACAACGGCCAAAAGCATAGGAGGCAGTCAGGAAAGGCTTTTGCTTCATGCCTGGGAACAAACCTTTTTTGCAGGTGTCCTTTCCTCTCTGTCCATCTCAGCATCTTGACTGAACTTCCGCTTTGAAGACAATCGCTTGCGCTTCAGCGGAGACGGGGGAGTTGTGCTCGCCGTGCTGTTTGGATCCTTCTCATGAATCTTCATGTGCCTGAGCAGGAGGGGGAAGAAGACGCCATCAGCGGGCCAATTGGGATGGGAAGTCCACACCAATTTTAATGCCAACACCACTTCCAAGCTTTGCCTTCCAATGATCCCAGCACAGATCCCATGAGTTGCATTGCAGTCCTGCCAGTCCTGAAATACCCAGCGTGGGTCTTCACAGCACCCAGGAGTGTGGGGCTGTAGGCCATCACTTCACTACCACCTGCACCTGCATCCATCCCGCATTACCCCCAGGCTCTTCAAATTTCAACTGCACACATGAAGTGGAAATAACACTGGTAACACTGTGAAGCTGCAGCAAGCATGGCTTGTGAAACTCTGTACTGCTAAAATGCCTTCCTCAACCCACATCCCCAGGACAAAGACTACTTACTGTCACAGTGACGCTGGAAAGGGGAAAAGAAGGCTCCACAAAACCTGCTTATATTGCTCCAGGTTAGAAGTACCATCACTGCAGGATGTTCTCAATCCAAACCCCAGCAGTAACTAAGACACCTAGTGTATTTCTTTGGTTCTTTGGTGCAGCACGTAAACCCAAAGAACAAAATGGCTGAGGAAGCAATCTCATGCCCATACACTTGGCTCACTTGACTCTCAGTTTGCTACGTTTGCAACCAAGCAAGATGCTCCCACCCAGTTCTCTTCAGTTAGATGACACATATTACTTCACTTTTCTTTTTCCGAGTACTCAACGCTTAACTCGTACTTTTTAAAAACCAGATGCAGGGCTTTTTGCTTCAAATTAATAGTAGTCAAGTGCTTTTGACAGAAATCAAACTTAGGTTCCTTCATTCCAATACGCAACGGAAATTTTCACTTCTAATAGTTACAACTAGAAGTGCAGGAGAGAAGTGCCCTCTGTGCATCTGAATGACTTCAAAGCTGCACAAGGCAGTCTGTGTTAATGGTAGCTGGGCAAGCTCCTTCAGAAGCCACACCAGCCCAGCTCAGGATGGTGCCATTTCACTTGACTGCAAACCATCATGTTCAAACATGAGAGAATGTTGTAATGCAGGTGAGTCTTACACATCCTCACAGCTGCTTGGGAGTTATGACATAAAATCAATTTTAGTTTTGGATGCCAAGGGCGTGATGCTGCAAGATAACACACTGGACCAAACTGACCCATGGGCAGAGGCTGCCAGATGAGTGTCTCCCAACATAATACTTTCACAATCCCTGAATCTTTTAAGAAAGGGCAACTACATTACTGTCTCACACTACAGCCAGCTTCCTGAGGGTGTTATGCAGGAACAGCCTCCATTCAAAGCCCCAAACACAGCAGAACTGCTGCAAGATTAAAACGGCTGTTCAGCAAGTGCCTGTATTGTTCACCTACCCCCAGCATTTTGGGGAATCAAATTCAGCTCCCAGGCAACTCTCACAGGCCACAAAAACAAGGGATGGATGCTGTGGGCAGCTTACACTGTGAGAGGCTCAAGAAGAAGAGAACATCTGCATGCAGATGGCTGGTAAGAGACAACAGCCTGCAATGGTTGCAGATAAACTTGAGAAGCAACAGGAAACAACAGGGCAAAAAGGCAGTATCCAGTTCTGGAGGCAAAACAAGACCTGAAAGGTAGTTTGCTGCAATATTTTTTTTAATACATTTCCTTCTTTTTAATAAAGATTGCCATCCAGTTTTGAATCTTCCTCTAGCATATGCCTGTCTGTCCCCTCAACCCAAAAAGAGGCAGACAGACACACGGTCTGTGTGCTTATCCTGCTGGCAGTTTGGCTGGTATCTAGCCAGTATGAGTTGGCCAGTTACTTTCAGAGAGGGAGAGAATGAAAGCAATCAAGCTAAATTCTATTCAGCCAGAAAACAAACAAACGACAACAAAAATACTGCTATACAAAAAGTATGGGACTTCTTGTCTCTATTTTCATATCTCCTCTCTGTCAGAGAGAATTCCTGTTAGTAGATATCCATTGAAAATAGCTTCCTTAGGGCTAAGTTATATTCCCCTGCTCTTTGTCCATCTGCTTAGTTCTGCCTGTTTTGATGGAGCTGCACCTACAGGAGGAGGCTGCAACAGCACATCCACAGTGTGTGTACCAACAGGAGAAACTGCTGGTAATTGCAGATAACTCCAAGTCCAGCCTGCCACCTCTGCCTGCCTTGACACAAATCATGCAAACACGCTGGCTCCTGCAAGTCCCAAAAGCAGTTCAGCCACATCTGCAATAAAATGACTGCTAATAAGGCAGGGCTTGTTAATGTGGGTGCAGCAGTGCAGTGACTGGACTTAGCTACACCTGGTGTTGAAGCCATCAGCAGCCTGCAGTTTTCCTTCCTGCATAGCCATGCACACTTCTGCCATGCCCGGAAAGCAGGAGCAGAATCCATACCCACAGCAAGGAATGCGGTAATCCCTTCGTGTTTTGGTTTTGCATATTTGAAAGGAAGCAGCCTGAGCTATTGAGCTATAAACAGGAAGACACCCTGACTGCACCTTTGACTTTTACTGTGTAGGTCAGATATCACAGACACCACGACAGCTCTCTGCATGCAATCATTAGGAAAAAGAAAAATCTGAAGCTAAAGCAGCAGGTTCCAGAGTTCTCGAGGAGAGTTGCAACCTGTCCACATTGCAGTGAGCAGGTTTATTCCTTTGACAGGTTAAGCAAGTTTCACTACATCAAGTCAAGGGTGGAGAGGAAAAAGATTACTAGAGCTACGACCCAAGATAAGCAGGAAGATAAAGCCAAGCAGTACAAAGGATAGACACAATCTTCATCTCTCTCTTTTACTTTGTAACATGGATGTCATTCTGCCTCAAGAAAACATTTATCACCCAACTTCAGTTGAACTGCAGCAGATGCCAAGTCACATCCATAACCTTTCTGTTAAACGCTCCTTTCACCAAGGCTCCTTTTACTTTAAAAGTTTCCTAACTAAAATTAAAGGCGGGAATTAATGAAAGTATTTGTGCTGCCTCATCCTTTATCCTCCTTCAGAAGAGTTTGCCTTGATTGGATCTTACACTCAACATTGAAAACGTTCAATTTAACATCAAAAATGTTCACTGTTTAGCCTGCCAAGACACAAGGAGAACAGGAACAAAGCTGTGCTTAGAAGTTATTTTCCCATTGTGACTATAACAACATATTTTGGCCCAACAACACTGGCATACTTTGAATACGAAAGCCATGCTTGTAAGTCAGCCTGGCTTTCAGCACCTACAATGATAAAGGAAAACGATACGACACTCATCAAATCTAGAAGAAAAAAAAAGATAAATGCTCAACACTTTAAGTGAAAATGGAATGCAAAGTAAGGCCATGCATGGAAATGCTCACATTCAGCCACAGACCTGCGTTACAGTAATAGCTGCCAGAGCACTGAAGTGACCACCACCTCAACTCAAGAGAGATCCAGAGCTGCGACTGACGGAACTTTGCTTTTTCTTCTAATTTAAATTGACAAGCTGTGGCTCTGAGCCGCCCTGCAGAGCAACCCAAGAGCAGCAGACAAGCTTGGGATGGGGTGGAGCCCAGAAAACTGCACTTCAACTGTGGTCACCCATCTCCTCGGCACGCATGCATGCACACACTGCACACACACACATGGACAGTACTGAAGGTGGAACACTGAAATGTTACTACGAGTCACAAGATGAAGTGATGGGGAGAAAAATTTATGCTAAACAGACTGCCCAGTACCACGAGGTAGCTAGCTTTGAATACTATCTCAGAGGAAGTGGTAGAACTTTAGTTAGAATCATTTCAGACACAGAGCCAGAAAAATTTGCAAAGAATAATCCTGAAACAGCAAGAGAAAATTGTATCTTTTTCACACGAGGTTTGATTCACCTCTGAACTCTGCACGTTTAAGAACTGCTATGCAAAAAATGCAGATAACTCACTACACACTCTGCTTTTCACAGCACAGCTGTATGTGAAAAAGTTCTCATGATCTGTTTCCTCCCCCTCACTAAAAGAATTTCACAGGTGAGCCAAGAGGATCCAACTGTGCTGTGACTGTGTGCCAGTCAGCCCGCCCAGAATAATCTTATTTTTCAACTGCTTCACTCTGTTTCATTTCATCTTCCCTGGGAGAATCACCTTCCGCTTCCCCTCTTGTGCCACTACTTTCTTCTTCCCTCCGATGTCATGTGAACAGAATGAGTAAGATGACAGTTGCACCAGAATTCCCCAAGCTTCTGAAAAAGCAAACGGGCAGAAAAACTCTCTGTCCCAACACTGTAATGCAAAGCATGACTTTGGAAGGGTGAATATTGGACCAGAACAGTGGCAAGTGAATGCTTCAGCACTTTTCACTGAAGAAGAGACTTTTGTGAAAACAAACACATGCAGAGCTCAAGTGCCTCACTCCTTTTTTTCCCCTCGGGTGCTGTTGGATCAGTGCCTAAGGGAGGTGACTCACAGTGAGGGGAAAAAAAAAGAGCATGTGTCCTGCTGAACCGATAGGCAGTTTCTATTGGTCACATCCCAATCTTTACTGCATCTCCAAAAAGGGTTGCTGTATTTTCTTAATGCAGAGGGGATTTGCATGTTGATCATATAAGCCTTCTGGAAGACTCAAAACAGGGCAGCCCACAGCTCCGATGCCAAAACCAGAACGTGGGAAGGTTTTGACTGGCTGGCTCAAGGCTAGAATGAGGAGTCAAAGCATCCTGAAAGAGGCAACTGCACAACGCAGCTGCTCCCAGCTCCAGGTCCCACTGAATTACGAATGAAACCAGGAGCTCCTGCTTTGCATGCACATAACCCCATCAGCACCCCTCTGGCTCCTAGAGAGGAAGCATCCTGCAGCATGTGTGGGAACCCCTCACCTCAGTCTACAGAGAGAAAAACCACACCATCACTGCGCCCCAAGTTTTCATGGCTGCTGATGTGCTCCACGTCCCTAAAGAAAGGGCCTGCCTGCCTCAGAAGCCCAGGCAAAAGGATGGTGTGAAACAAAGGGTTGGATGTGCAGCCTATGAGCAGCGACCGCAGTTAAAGCCTCTCCCTTCTAAC